AGTACAATAAACTTATATAAGTTTTGCTGTGCTTGTTTTTGCTGACTCGACTGAGGGAAATGTCACAAGCATGTCGGACTCTCGCAGACTGCCAGAATCTCGCCGAGCATGTGATCTCCCAGACTGGAAACGTAGAAAAAAAAAAGCGAAAGGAGCTGCAACGAATGCGCCGTCCAAAGCTCATGAGCCTGATCGCTTCTCATCACCTTCCGGAAGATGAGGATTTCATGCGCAAAATTGAGGCTATGTATTCGACAGCCAAAGATTCAACAGAGGATGAGGATGAGGATGACATTATCATGGGGGACTTTGTTGATGAGCTGGTTCTTGACGACCTGCTTGCTGAGGACAAACAGGAATTTAAAATGGTCTCAGACGCAGTCAGAAAACGCAGAATCAAAAGGGTGCATCAAACCTGGCAGGCCATCAAGACGCAGCAAGCAAAGGCCAAGGCAAAGGGCAAGGCCAAAGCAAAGACCAAAGCAAAGGCCAAGCCACAGGCCCAACGGAAAGCCAAGAGAAAGATTTGTCGCCCACGTATGTTGCCCAGGAAGCAACCCGCGCCTCCTGATGAAAGTGGTCAAGAGGGAGCAGAAGGCAGAGTGGCAGCACCTCCTGCTGAGGTGCCGGTGGAGCCGGAGCCTGATAATCACGTGGAGGCCGCGGAAGGCAGAGTGCCAGCCCCTCCTGCTGAGATGCCGGAGGTGCCTGCTGCAATCCCTGTCCCAGAGCCTGATGATCACGTGGAGCCCGAGGAAGGCAGAGTGCCAGCCCCTCGTGCTGAGATGCCGGAGGTGCCTGCTGCAATCCCTGTCCCAGAGCCTGATGATCACGTGGAGCCCGAGGAAGGCAGAGTGCCAGCCCCTCCTGCTGAGATGCCGGAGGTGCCTGCAGTGCCTATCCCAGCACTCGAGCCACGGGAGGTTGCAGTCCGTGGCCCCCAACATCAGCGGCGGCCGAACCGTGTTGACTACCAAGGGGTATGGACACCTGTTCAATGCCCGGAGTGTCCCAAGATCGCTGGTGAGATGAAGTACGACCCGAATCCTGGTGGCACTGACAAAGCAAAATGGTTTCTCCGAGTTCGTGTGACAGACGGCGGTCTCTTGGAAAGATTCGGAACATTTGTTATAGCTTCGATGTGGTTGCCTGATCTGCTGTGTGTTGTGTCACATTACATGAACCCATGTGTGTCTGGCATTGAAGGCGAGTGGAGCCACCTCGTACCCTATCACTGGGGACGTGTGGCTTCCAAGATGACAGAAGCGCAGGCCAGACAACACGTCATTGACCATAGGCCCTGTTGTGGCCCGACCAGGAGGCCTGGCAACAACTAGAGGATTCATCCTGCGCTGCAAAGAAAAGTTGTGTGTCTGTCTGTGTGCTTGCATTGATGGCAGCGGGTCCTGCTAGATTGGAATGCGTCCGAGAGACTGTGTGTTTCTGCTTGGGGAAGACGGATTGCGAAAGCATGTTCGCATTTTCACACATGTGGAATTTGTCACGTGCAAGCACATGGACAATCATTTCGAGTGCCACAACCCGGAAGCCGCACAAACTAGCACATGTGGTTTGAAGCCGTGCGTGCTTGTGACTGAACAGTAGCCGTCCAGAGCAATGCATTTCGCCCCGATCGAACGAGGAGAGTGTTTCTTCAGAGGCGAGCTCTCCCCAATCTTGATCAAAACCGCTTGCGAAAAATTGGCCAAAGCGCCTGTCCAGTGGAGACCAGCTGAGAGATGGAAGGAAGTTTATGACGACGTGCCTTGGGAAATCATGGTTCGCTACCTGCGTTACTGGCCACGTATTGGCTCCCGCATTACAGCAGGCCTCAGGCTTCTTCGACAGCACGAAGGCCCCTTCCCGAAGTGTTATCAGGTGGGTGAAGGAGAAGAACCGCTGGAGTTGCCGCGCGTTTCTCTCGTTTGTGATTTTGTTTATGTTTGGAACGACGAAGATGAACAACAACGGCAGTTTGTCCTTCAGATGAAACCCCTCTCACTTGTTGCCATCCGTCTCGGTGGTCCGGGGGAACTTCCTGACCTTGATGCTGGAGCAATACCTTTGACCGACCAGCTTCGTGCAAAGGTGGGGATGAATTCCAAATGGCAATAATTAATGGATCTTGAGGCGGGAAGGCAGAGTGCCAGCAGCTGGGAAGGCAGAGTGCCAGACGTTGTCGCGTCACCCAGCTGTACCCTGCTTCGCCTGCACGTGATTCGCTTGACAGTGTGGTCAACGCAGAAAAGCGCAACATCCAGCAGTTCGTAGCCACTTCGCGCGATTTGTGCATCCCTAATACTATCAAACCCTAAAACTATGGCACTCTGCCTTCTAGCCCCAAACCCTAAATACTAAAGACCCTGAAACTCTAACCCTAACCCTTTCATTACCCGCAAACCCTAACACTATGGCACTCTGCCTCCTAACCCCAAACCCTAAATATACTAAAGACCCTGAAACTCTAACCCTAACCCTTTCATTACCCTCAAACCCCTAATACTATGGCACTCTGCCTTCTAACCCCAAACCCTAAATATACTAAAGACCCTGAAACTCTAACCCTAACCCTTTCTTTCATTACCCTCAAACCCTAACACTATGGCACTCTGCCTTCTAACCCCAAACCCTAAATATACTAAAGACCCTGAAACTCTAACCCTAACCCTTTCATTACCCTCAAACCCTTAATACTATGGCACTCTGCCTTCTAACCCCAAACCCTAAATATACTAAAGACCCTGAAACTCTAACCCTAACCCTTTCATTACCCTCAAACCCCTAATACTATGCCACTCTGCCTTCTAACCCCAAACCCTAAATATACTAAAGACCCTGAAACTCTAACCCTAACCCTTTCATTACCCTCAAACCCTAACACTATGGCACTCTGCCTTCTAACCCCAAACCCTAAATATAATAAAGACCCTGAAACTCTAACCCTAACCCTTTCATTACCCTCAACCCCCTAATACTATGGCACTCTGCCTTCTAACCCCAAACCCTAAATATAATAAAGACCCTGAAACTCTAACCCTAACCCTTTCATTACCCTCAAACCCCTAATACTATGGCACTCTGCCTTCTAACCCCAAACCCTACATATAATAAAGACCCTGAAACTCTAACCCTAACCCTTTCATTACCCTCAAACCCCTAATACTATGGCACTCTGCCTTCTAACCCCAAACCCTAAATATAATAAAGACCCTGAAACTCTAGCCCTAACCCTTTCATTACCCTCAAACCCCTAATGCTATGGCACTCTGCCTTCTAACCCCAAACCCTAAAGACCCTGAAACTGTAAACCCTGTGCCAGGTCTTCTTCATCCTCGTCTTCTCGGAAAAAACATTAAAAAATGTAGTTTTTTTGTGTGTTTTAAAGTTTTTAAAAAATTTTAAAAGTTGTTTAAAGTTTTTAAAAGTCTTTCAAATTCTTTTTAAAGTTTGTAAAAGCTTTTAAAAGCGTTTAAAAGTCTTTTAAAGTCTTTTTAAAGCTTTTAAATGTATTTTAATGTTTTTAAAAGTCTTTTAAATATTTTAAAAGCCTTTTAAAGTTTTGAAAAGTCTTTTAAAGTTTGCAAAAGTCTTCTAAAAGTTTCTAAATGTCTTTTAAAGTCTTCTAAAAGTTTTTAGAATGTTTTTTCTTGCATTTGAAAGTTTTTAAAAGTCTGTAAACGTCTTTAGAAGCCAACTCTGTCGAAAAAGCCCTGTGGATCTAAACCTTGTGGTTCTGGTTCGGTGCAAAAGGGCAATGATATATAACTACTTATAACCTCAATTAAGGTACTTAGAACCTTACTTACTAAGTCCCATGATCCTCCAAGTAGACCCTAAACCCTAAACCCTATAGATCCCTCTAAGGAACCCTATGGATCCCTTTAAGGAGCCCTTAAAGGAACCCTTACTAAGTCCCACGATCCTCCAAGTACATCCCCGGAGTCTCCAAGTAGTTAGGATGACAGGCAGTGCCCAGAGTCTCCAAAACCCTTTAATTAAGGAATATTCCTTACATTATGGTAGGATCCTTGATATGAATTAAGGAATATTCCTTACATTATGGTAGGATCCTTGATATGAATTAAGGAATATTCCTTAAATTATAGTAGGATCCTTAATATGATTTAAGGAATATTCCTTAATTAAGGGATATTGGAGTCTCTGGGTGCTGCCGTCCCTGAGGACACTGGGCGGCCCCACTATGCAGTAATGTTCTTGATGGTTTATGGTTATGGGTGTAGGGCATTGGCGTAGGGCTCGCGATGACAAGAAGAGCACGGCAGCAAAATAACTACTCCTCAACAATCATGAGTGCTAGTGCTTTAGCAAAAATTGAGGCCCCCATCAGCTAGCCCAGATTTCGCTCTATCCGTTAATCAAGGAACATATCCGCAATCTTGTTCGGGTCATTGAGTAACATCAGGTATGTGGGAGTTTCCGAAAATTAGGGGTACCTTATTTTCTGGTCCTTATAATAAGGATCCTAGTATTTAGGGTACTGTATTAGGGTCCCCTATTTTCGGAAACTCCCATATATTCCTAAATGATCATGAGTGATCTTGGAAGATCTGGGAACCTCGAAACCCTGCACAGGGAAGCTGCACGCTACTCGCGTTTTGGCTCAGGGGCTTCTTAAATGTGTACATGGGTGGTTGTCAAAATCAGGGTCCCTTTTTGGGTCCCTATTATAATTACGGCACTTAATATTAAGGGTACCCAAGTAGGACCATAATTTTGACAACTACCCGCATGAGATTTGCTGGGTCCTCGTCGTGGGATCTAATGTAAGGGCTTGGTAGTCGTGTGGAGTAAGATTGATGCACGGATCACAAGGCCAAGACAAGCATCAGAAAGTCATGGCGAAGTAGCTGCAGCCGGTTAAGGTTTAGGCATCAGATTTTCAGGTTTAATGATCGTGATATATGTTCAATATGACATATCCCAAATCCTTATTCCAATTGCTACGGCCCGTACTCTAATTAGCTGCAGTGGGTGGCGCCATGTCGACCGATCGAGAGGAACTGTGGCCTCCAATCTGTTGGACGCCACGTGGTGCTTCAGAGGGCGATGGAGGTGCTTCGGCTTCAGATGGCATTGCGGCCAAAACGGACGTCTGCGATCTTTGGCCACCGATGGAGTGGTCTCCGGCCGCGAAGGATACGAAGGCTGAGGCTGACGACGAGGTGCCAGCATCCCTCACCCAGCAGAAGAAGGAGCAGACCGGAGCCCCCTAACACCTAAACCCCTAAACGCCTAAGACCCTCAACCCCTAAGAAAACCCTAAACCCTAAACCCGAGACCCCTAAACCCGAAGCCCCTAAACCCTAAACTTCCTATACCCCGAAAGCCTAAACGGGAGCAGACCGAAGCTGAGGACGCGACGAACTCGGAAGCGCCGGATCTCTGGCCACCAATCGCCTGGACACCACGTTCCTTAGGGGTACTTAGGAATAGGTTTTCATTTTTGGTTATTATAATCCCTAAGAAACAGCTAAAATTTTAATTTTTGCTAGGGTTCTAAGTTCAATATAGGTTCCTCAGATGGCGATGCGAAGACTCCGCGTGATGCCAGCGAGCTCTGGCCCAGCCTGAACTGGTCGTAAGGCTTTCGCAAATGAACCTCCACGGTGACAGTGCCTGTTTGAGCAGGCTTTAGCAAGTTGCGAAAAGTGCGGGAATGTGTGTTTTTGGCTCTAGATCTTCGCGTCGCAGGGCGCCAAGCGTTGCATATAAATCCTAACTGCACGCAGCCTGTCCCCAAATTTCGCAAATCCGAAATGTTCCGATGTTACTGTTAGATTTCGGGTGGACCGCTTCGGGCAGTAAGTCGTGCAACATGCAGTGAGAGTTCGAGTTACAAGTCGCGGGAAGCGCAATTTGCCGTGGTCCTTTCTGGGACGATGTGTGTAATATTGGGACTTACGTAAATCAGTACCAGCCCGATTTTGGGGATTCCTGATTATACATGTAGTATAATGGGCCCCAGAACCTTGTTATACTCGTCTCATAATTTTGAAGCCTACATACTACCAATATTATTCTTCAGAGTTCCGTCATATACTTATGCTGTAAAGGAGCCCGACTCCCATTCTGACTCCTAAGGCCGCTACGTTACCTTGAAATCCCAAAGTCTGCACAAAGCCCTTTGAATCGCCGCAGCCCTTCGCTTCCTGCTACGCCGCAAGCGCTAAATAAACTCTAAGCAAACCCAGAGGGTGCATATGTACGACCACTATGGAATTAGGCCCCAAAAAACCATTTTAAGGATGGTTTTCTGATTCATAGTTGCATAATAGTAGTACTAAGGGACCGTCTGAGAAATCTTTGCCCTGAACCCTAAACCCTAGGGTAAACAAACTTAACGGAGTTTCCAAAGCCTTGTCCACCCCAACTCCCTAACTACACACCCCAAACCTCAAAGCCTCCCAACAGCTCAGGGTGCAACCTATTCCTGAGAGCGAGTACTACGGTGATGGCAGCCGGCACGCGGTCGTCCATGCTATCGCCAGGTCAGGGGTTTAGGGTTTGTGGCGTTTGGGGATTCAGGGTTAGGGTTTCGGGTTTGGGGTTTTGTTTCAGGCTTTTGATGTGTTGGAGCCTTGTGGGGGTGCTGAGGCTCACAGAAAGTTTGTCTCAGGTCTTAGACTTTGATGTTTTGGTTTTAGATCTCGGTTGCTGGCTGAAGGCCTTGGAGGCTTCAGGGTTTCCGGACACATGTAGATGTGGTTTACCTGTACATACACGTGTGCTTGTTCTTTTAGAAGGGTTTGGGCGCCTGAGAAATGCTGTTGAAGCCCGGAGACAGGTGGTAGCCGTTGAGAATTCTCAGGCCTTGCAACTATTGAACATGGGCCCTAAACCCTGAACCGTTTCCAGGGATCCGTAGATTAAGGATGCTACTCCGGGGCTTGCATTGTCGTGAGTCTGGTTTCTGTCCTATGTAAGGTTTAGGCTTAGGACTGGAGTTGGAGTACTGTATGTTGGGGTTTTTCCTTGGGCCTGCGGTTGAACCAGGTAACTACGGCTGTGGCTGGGCCCGAAGCCCCAAACCTCAACCATCGCATCTGAAACTCTAACTGCTAACACAAAAAGCCTCGAAACCCTAAACCCCAGCAGGCATGTTTTAGAAGCTGCCCCCACCCTGTAATAGTGACTATAAGGATTATATTAGGGCCCTAGTATATTCCGATTATACCACTATTACAGATACCACTATTACAGGGTGGGGCCCCTTCTAAGGCATAAACCTTACCTTTGGTTAGTAGGGAATGGAGGAATGGGGTACAATTATATCTACTATTACTACCATTCTTCCATTCCCTACTAACCAAAGGTAAAGAAACCCCAGCAGGCACATTGGAGATAAAGATGCGGACGAGGTCTTGGCCGACTTGCAGATCTGCGAGCAGGTGGGCGCGTGCGTGGTTGGATCGTTGGGTCCCTAAACCTTCAAGAGCCCAGAAATCCGAACACTCCTGAATTCAGTAGTATACCTTAAACTACAGAGGCCTTAATATTATGATTCAAAGTATATCCGTTGATTTAGGGGGTAATAGGCTCTATGGGGAGCCCTCTATAAATCCCTACAAAGCCTCGTAGATCCCCTCATATAAACTCGGGGAACCCCTAAACGCATCAATGCTAGAGGCCCTAAATCTGAAGCCCTAGACCCTAAGACCCTGAACCACGAACCCTACGGAAGTATATATAGAAACCATAAGAAGGAACCCCAAGAGCTACAGGTAAACTCGAAACTCCTATTACCAGACACCGAGGTAGGGAAATCCCGTCGATCTCGACCAAAATCGTAGTCCTTACCTCCTTGACACCCCGAAATGAACCATGACACCAAGACGTGTAGGTGCTTCGGGGTTGAAGTTTGGGTAAGCTTAGGACTATTAGGTTTAGGACTCCCCCAAAAACCCAAAACCCGACACCCTAAACCCTGAACCCTGCACCCAACACCCTAAACCCAAAACCCTAAACCCGAAGCCCTTAGGCCAAAAGCTGCTGCTCGAACTCCGGCGTGCTTGGGTTTGAGGTTTGACCCATGGTTAAACAATAGCTGTCAGTTGGGCACGCCGGGGCTCCGAGATGCATCCTAAACTCTACACCGAAGCCCCAAGCTGAAATCCGCAAACCCTAAGGCCAAACCACCCAGACAATAAACCCCAAACCCTGAACTTCAAGCCCTAAACCTCAAACCCTAGCACCCAATGCTAGACCGCTGATTCCCTTTCCACTACGGTTGATGATACAAATCCTGCAATACCTTAAGGACCCTAAACTATGGGAATTATGCTATATTCCTTATAATGGGTCATACAGGACTTATACCATCAACCGTACGGCCTGTAGATTGCATCCTAATCTTGGCGTTCTTCTGGTTGACTCTTAGGACTTTAACTTTTTGGGTTTCTATATGAACTATAATAAGGAGGCTAAAAGTTTAACTTTTAGGAGGGGTTCAGAAGTCAGCCAAGTAATCATAGCCCCCATAGATGAAGCAATGGTTCATGTGTCAGGGTTCGTCTTACCTCCCCTCGATGCCCATGAATCAAGCCAGCCAAAGAAAGGTAGCAACAGAATTCCTCCTGCAGGTGTGCCCCAAGAGGAACAAAAAGGGTGTCCTGGTAAAGACGCCAAGGAGCTGGGTTTGGGGTTTAGGTGGTTTAGGGTTTAGTCTACATGTAGACTTTTTGATGGGTTTTAGGGTTTACGGCTTCAGTTATCATAGCCTGTGCTTGCGGATACATACATGGTTGTAGTGGCTGTGGTATAGTATACTCCCAAATCCTTCTATAACTGTATCAAGCCCCTATAGTCATGGGCTTCTTGCTTATGGCTGAAGGTGTTGGGTATATCGGAGTTTCCGAAAATAAGGGACCCTAATATAGTACCTTTAAATAGTAGGATCCTTATCCCAAGGACCTCCAAAATGAGGTACCCCTAATTTTCGGAAACTCCCATATGGTCTGGGGGCTCAGGACTTGGTTTGGGATCAACTGTCTCCCAGTGCCAGCTTAGTACTCTGGGGGTTCGGTTTAGGGTTTAGTCTACAGTGAGGGCTTTAGGGTTTAGGGTTCAGAGTTCTAGGGTTTTGGGGTTAGTCTTCATTTAGGGTTTTTGAGTTTAGGGTTTTAGGGCTCAAGCCTTGGGGATCGGGTGCATTTTGGGGAGTCGTCTTGAAGAACGTAAGTAGGCACCACAGAGAACCATAAGAACCTTGGAGGAAGCTTCCTCCGGATTCCTAGTAGATTGTGAGGACAGAAGGTTATTTCAAGTGTTTTGAATGTTCAGTTGACCTCCAAATCCTAAACCTTAAGCCGGCTTAGAAAAGGCTTTTCCGTCGGCCGAGGCAAGGTAATAGATACCTGCGCGAGTTTATTGACTCGACAGGGAAACCTGTGTCTGAACCGTGGACAGCCTTTATACTGTAAAGTTCGAAAATGCCATTGAGTTTAAACCAAGACTCCGATGGATCACCGTACTGTACTAGGTGCAGAGTTGACAGGGTTGGCTTCGGGTTTCGAGCGCAGCGCCAGTTCGGATCAAGAAAAAGAACAGCCTGCGGCCTACAACCCTAAAAACCCCAAATTCGACCCCAAGTGGTAAACCCTAAACCCGAGCCCGTAACCCCTGACCCTCAAACTATACCCTACACCATCTTACAACAAACACATGCCTACACCTTACCTGTGACCCAAACCTCCAAAATAGTAGGTTATGATCCCTTAATTAGATGGTGGAACCCTTAAAGCGGCAGGCGTTTGGATCCCCAGGTACACCCCAAACCCAAGGCAATAGAGAAGACGGCCAGGACCGAAAAGTACCTGATGAAGGCCTTCGAAAAAGGAATTGTGGAATTGGTCTGCCTTCTGGACAAGGCCTTGAGGGGTTTAGGGTTTAGGGTTTTGGGTTCATGGTGGGGTTGAGAGCTGAGGGTTTATCTTTACTAGAGAAGTGCAGGGATCCATATGGGATCTAGAAGGGCTCTATAAGGGTTGTACCGGGGTCTAGTGTTGCCTTCTGGACAAGGCCTTGAGGGCTTAAGGTTTAGGGTTCGATAGAAACCGTACAGAATGGTAGGTTATGACCCCTTAGTTAGAGGGTAGAACCCTTCAAACGGTAGGTTTTTTTGGGATACCCAGGCAAAGTTACCATTCCCAGAGGGTCCACATATACTACTATTATATATATACATATATATATATATATATGTATACATATATATATATAGATATATTTATGTAGGTCACCAAACCCGTAATCAGGGTGGTCTTTTGGGACCCAATTCCATGATGGTACATATGGACACTCTGGGATTGTATAGGTACCTTTTTGTTCTGGAACTTGGGGCCGGTTTGGTGCAGTTTGAGTTCCGTCTCTCTTTGTAACGCTTCAGGGTTTCGGGGCTCGACGGTTTAGGGGTCTAGGGGTTTTAGTAATAGGGTTTGTAGGCTCTGTGGTTCAAGAGTTTTAGGGGTTTGAGGGTTTCCAGTTTTGAGGTGTTGCGGTGGAGGGTTTCCAGTGCCCAGTGCAGCCCGGCACAGCCCGGAGCCGTAGACCAACATGCACTGCACTGGCAAGCGTAGCTGCGAGG